CGTAAAAAAAGGCCACTTTGCCGGCTTCGTAGTCCACGAAGACCCCCACCCGCTTGGGTTTCACCCGCACCGTCAGCGGGGTGAAGGGGGTGGTGGTGGCCGCGTACTTATCGCCGTTCCAGAGCCGGACCCGCCAATATCCCGTCTCCGGTAAGGGCGTTAATTCCCCTTTCCGACTCACCGAATCCTTACAAACGCCGAGAGCCCAGTGGGTTTTATCGCCGACTTCCACCTCCCAGTAATGCCGACCGGAGGTAAAACCTTGCGCCGCCAAAACGCAGGGGTAGATGGTGAAACGGCGCGGGGTATCCGGTAAATCCCGGGGTCGAACTTCCACGAAACGAACGCTTTTCCGATCTTCCGATAAAACCAAGTTGGGATGCGCCGTGTCCGGATCCAGCGTCACCTCGCCTGGACGGTAACGAGGGGGGATTTAAGGGGGTGCGGAGCGCGGTTGGGGGGGGCCCGGCCGCGGCACCGGGCGGGGGGGGTTCCTCACCGATGAGGCGCCGGGTGATTTTCCGGAGGGTGAAATATTGCCGGGGAAAACTGCAGAAGTTTTTCTCCAGCTCGATGGGGACGGAAGCCGGTTCTTCCACCGGCGCCGCCGCCGCCTCGCACCTGCCAGCAGCCCCGGGGGGAGGTGGGATCCGTCAGCCAAAATCCCGCTTTTCTGCCCCAAAACGGAGCCCGGAGAGCGGGACGGATCGCCTGCGCGCCTCTTACCTGGCCAGGGTGTCCTTGATGTCCTGAAGTGGGGGGAAAGCAGGAAAACCAAGGGGGTTAGGTGTGCCAGATCCCCCCCCGCGTCGATCTCTGGGATCCCAGCCCTGATCGCCGTTGCCAGCACTGATCCCAGCCCCCGGCAGCAATCCCAGCCCCGGGAATCCTGTCCCTCGCCACGATCCCGACGCTGACCCCATTCCCGGTGTCCCTGTTCCTGGCGGCGATCCCATCCCCAACACCGATTCCCTCCCCAGTGATCCCATCCCCAGGGGAGATCCTGTCCCCAAACCCAATCCCATCCCTGGAGTTGATCCTGTCCCCAGGGGCGATCCCATCCCTAAACCCGATCCCATTCCTGACAATCCCGTCCCTGAACCAATCCCTTCCCTGGGGTCAACCCTGTCCCCAAACTTGATCCCATCCCCAAAACCGATCCTGTCCCCAGGGGTGATCCTGTCCCCAAAGCCAATCCCGTTCCTGGGGATCCCGTCCCCAAAACCAATCTCATCCCCAAAACCAATCCCTGGCGATCCCGTCCCTAAAACCAATCCCATCCCTGGAATTGATCCTGTCCCCAGAATCGATCCTGGCCCCCAACCCAGTCCTGTCCCCAGGGATCCCGTCCCCAGAACCGATCCCATCCCTGGCAATTCCATCCCCAGGGGCGATCCTGTCCCTAAAACCGATCCTGTCCCCAGGGGTGATCCCGTCCCCAAAACCGATCCCGTTCCCGAGGGTGATCCTGTCCCCAAGACCAATCCTGTCCCTGGGGGTGATCCCGTCTCCAAAACCGATCCCATCCCTGCCGCTGATCCCATCCCCAGCGCTGATCCACCCGATCCCCATCCCGATCCCGCCCTACCTTGAGCATCTCGGCGCCCGGCTGCAGACACTTCTCCTCCAGCTCGGCCACGAGGGCGGCCAGGACCCGGCGCTGCTCCCCCAGCCGAGCCAGGTTGGCCTGAAGCCGCTGCAAGATCTCGCGCTCTT